ACAGAAAGAAGCAATATATGAGAGGAAGAATGCTTTGGTTTCCTGCAGGAGGTGTTGAGCAGCTGTGGGAAACAGAGCTCTACTTCTTCCATCTCTAAGAGCTTTGATACCAAATTCTGGTTTATATAAATGATGAAGCTATTAGGTAATCCTTCGGTATATTGGTCTCCAATCATATGCCACCCCTCTTTTCTCCGTCCGTGGTGATCTCACAAGGGAGTTGTACCAGCTCAGAAAATAGTGTGACTAAAACTAAGAATAAACTGTAGCAGTTAAGATATGACTCATTGTTATTTTTAAGACCTATTTTTTTTCTTGAAAATAATAGGTCTCTTTTTGAATAGTAGTTAGAAAGACAGGCTTGAACATAGGCATGTGTCATTGTTTTAAATTTATTCTACATAATAAAACTATAACACAAGGAACAAAGTAAAGAACAACAGAACCAAGACCATGACATATAGTATGACTTACAGAAATACCAAAGCTTTCATGTAAAATAATCCTAAACATTTTAGATTTTGTTTTATTGAATAAAACAAATTAAACCAAAGCATTTTTTATTTAATTGGGTTACAATTAAAACATTTGGTTTTCATGTACAAACATCAATTAATCATTGATGGACAATTGCTTTGTAAAATTGTAAAATTCAAGAATAAAGGAAATTTCTAAATAATTTCAAGAAGGCTTTGTGATGAGAATAAAATAAAGCTCTCTCAGCGCTGTGTAAGAAAATACTGGGTATGGCCCACAGAGTGCAGTCTGCATGGTGAAGTGCTGATGTAGAAAGACTATTGTTTAGGACTGTTTATGTGCTGAGAGCGGAGGGTCATTTCACAACTAAAATGGGCAATAAATTGAACCATAAGCCATAAAATAAGAAAAAAAAAACAGAATAGCCTTATTGAGCTAGGACATGAAAAATTGTTTTGGAACAACATTCTTGCAAGAAGTGGCTTAAAACACTAACAAGAAGACAAAGGAGTGGCTAAGGAAAAAGTCAAATACAGTCTTAAATGACAAAACTAGTCTCCAAACTTCCGTTTGTTGAGGAAGTGAAATATTGTCTACCAAAATAATTTGAAGTTTCTATAAATAAAAAAGACCTGAGCTCCTTCTGATATCTTGTTAGACTGTTAAATTTGTGATATTCACAAAGAGATTCACCCCAAACAGTATAATTTAACAATTCCCAATCGAGAACCATGTCCTCAGACTGAGATTAGATTAATTTGCTCTTTGTGGTTCAGATATGGAAGGAATCAAGATAATGAGTTATCCACTCAAATGCGCTATGGCATATTCCTAGATCAGATGAAAATCAAAAATAAAGTTCCTTTAATCATGTCTTGACAGCTGTCTGTAACAACACTAGAAATTAAAACAGGAAGTATCCCTGGCAGAATCCAATTTACACTGTGAAAGATCTCAATTTTGTTTCAGGATTAAGAACTTGGTTCTTTCTGCAGATAATAAATGAATAGCCTTTCAACATATATTTTTTGAAAATTATCTGGTGCTCCATGCTTAAACTTGGAAAGACAGGATTGTGGGCCTAAGCTGAACAGGTATTGCTGGACCTCTAAAGCAAAACCAAGACATGGAAAATGAGCCAGGAGAAGTTTTATGATGTTTTACAGCCTTTGTTGTTTTGCTACACTGAGTACTTTGCATTCTTACCATAATTTTGTAAAACCATCCCACCACCAGACCATATAAGATACTCCCCAAAGGTTACTACTTAGTTAATAGGATAAAGGGTCTGTCCCAGATTCCTGCATAGAGTCAGTATTGACAACTGAAAGAAGAACTCTTCTTCATATCGAATCCCAACTGATTAATGCCACCGCCGTGGATTTCCATGGAATCCTAAAAAGATATGCAAATGTTAGCTGCAGCTGTTCTACTTTCTTTTTTTTTTTTTTTGTTTGTTTGTTTGTTTATAATATGACAGATAAAAAAAAAGAAATGGATTAAACTGGATTGAAAAGTAAATTTCTTCATGTATCAGATGAAGTAAAATTAAGGATTTATTATGTATTTCAATGAAAGACAGGGAGTAGGATTAGTAGGCCAGTGAGTGGGACTTTTCTGTCAATATATTCATGTCCAAACAAGAATTAAATAGAATAGAATAGAACAGACATTTGTTCTGGGAATCAAATTAGACGTAGACATAAGATATTAGATGTAGTATATATCAAAATGATTAACCAATAGAAATATAATAACAAATGGATTTAACATTCTGCAGTGTATACCTTTTTTACCTATAAGTGCTTTTTAATCTCTTTTTTAACTTAAAATTTATACTTGAAGAAACAAACAATAATCTATCAGAAAACCCAGTTACTTTTAATGGTGGTAACAAAATAGATTTATTATTTGCAAACAACTAAAGACCCTGAGAAATTTGAACCAAGAAAAAATAGAAAAATTAAAGTCAAGACAAAACATTGTTTCCCTCTCCAGAAGTGGCTAAAGGTTCAACAGAAACCATTTTAGGCTAACGGTGAGTCTTTCTTCACGTTCTTCACAAACTCCTAACAGGCTGAGTTTTTGTCTCTGTGACCACCCACACAGTGGCACACCTGGCCTCAGGATACCTGCTTGCTGCCTTTGGAGTTTCACAAACCAGCCATTAGAACTCTTTAATTTCCATTAGAGACTTTAGAAGACTTTATAACCTAAGAAAAGCCTGAAATAGGGATACCCTTACCTAATATGTCCATACCACTGAGATGAAGGTTGGGTTTTCATCCTCATATTTTGGCCTTGCAGATCTGCGGCCTCTTACGATCTGATTGCACCTCTATAGAATCATTTATTGAAGATTGGCAATAAATACATAGGTTTAATAGAAAATAGGAGAACCTGTTTTACTCAGAAGGTAATGTTTTAAGTGACAATGCTAATGAGGAAGACATACCTGGATGCAACTGTCTGCTTGCTTGACACACAGCTCTACTTGGCAGTGCAAGTAAACATTGCCATTACCTCCTGTGAACTGGAAGCTATTAAAAGAGAAAGAGTTGGATGTTCCAAGCCCATTTCCTTCCACCTGCACGGTTGGATCTTTGGGATTAGGGCAGCTGCACAAAAATATTAAACTAAAATGTTAGAGAGAGTAAGAATTACATAGACAGCTTTTAGTTCTGTGAGGATTACTGTATGTTTCACCCATTGATAATAAGGTCGTATCTCAGGCCTCTAGTTGGGGATGGCTGATCTGTTGCCCAGCAGGAGTCGGTTACGATGGCTATCATGTCCTCATCAAGTCCAAATGTCTTCAGTTCTACCCAGAGTCGTTGGTTCAGGTCAACTGTTGTGTCATAATCACTAGGTTTTGTGCGGTCACGGCTGGTGTAGGCCTCCATGGTCAGATTATAATTCCATTCACCAGAAGAAATATGTTGGATAACAGAGCTAGAAGGCAGACACAGGTTCATTCGGTAAATTGTTTTGTTTTCACTGAAAACAAAAAAAGACTCATAAACCTTCTGAAAAAAGTTTAAACTTCTTGGGTGAATGATGCACATACATACACACACACACGCACACACACACGCACACACACACTCGTTTTGACTCCCATTTACGTCCATTGATTTTTAGTCATTTTCAACCCTTTCTATGCCTTAACCCTAAAACTAACCCTAAACTTAACCATTACCAATGCATACCTCACCTTAACCCTAACCCAATTGACCCTTAGTCCTAAACCTAATCATTAGCAAAATTGCTTGTAAGGACCAGCAAAATGTCCTCACTTTGCAACAACTGGTCCTCAATTTGATGGTGAAATTGGAAAAATTGGTACTCATTCTGAGGGCTAGTCATGTGCACGCACACACACACACACACACACACACACACACACACACACACACACACACACACACACGCTACATACTTGTGTCTAAATCTGATGCCCAGAGTCTTAACATCTGGGTTGTTGTAATGACAGGAGAAGTCCATATGCACCATGTCATGACGGCTAATCATCCCAAACATAGAGATGTTCTGTGTCATGATGGAATTCTTGTAGATAATTTGGCTGTTGTTTGCCTGCACATGAACATAGAAAATATTAATGCTTGTATTATTGTACCTGTAGGATAAAAGGTTTCAAAACTGCTTTGTTTATGGATAAAAAGCATGAAGCCATAATCTTCTACTTATCTTAAATAACTACTGATAACGGATTAGAACTAATTTTCCAAACTGTTTTTCTGAAAAATGTATTTAGTTTCTTATCATTTAAAATCTGAAAAAAAGAAAAAAAATCTATCTTGATTCATCAAGGTTTTTTTTGCATTTACTGTCCTGAGTCTAAAAATAGAGCCAACATTCTTTGTTGTTTGAATAAATTGTTTGCTTCTTTGGAAACATTTCTTTTCTATTTAAATTTCACATCTTTCTTTGGTTGTACCATATGTCATTCAAATACAAATAAAGAAAACCTTGATATGATAAATTTTTTCCTATTGCCAACCCATCATATGTAAACCCATGAGTTCATGTTTTTTCAATGTAAAAGCTAATTTATGCCAAGAATGGATGTTGACTGCTTCTACTCTCAATTTTCTTTGCTAGGTACTGCATTTGGCACAAATTACAATCTTAGGTCAGAAGTTGTCCAATTTTCTTTTGAACCCTTTGAAATGTATTTCCTAAAAGGATACTTACCTGAACCACTGTACCGCAGGTGTTCCCACTGTTGAATCTGAATGTCACCATATTTGTCAGGTTATCCAATTCACCTCTACAGGACTGGTCATTCAGATGTAAGACAGAGTAGTCAATGCCTTTATCCTCTAGCAGACAGTTTGCCAGAGTTACTGTGGCAGATTTGTCCCCACAGACAATTGGCTCACCTAAACATTAGAACATCAGTGGGTACTTAGGATTAGTTAACCTGTGAAATGCTTATTTAGAGTGTTAGACTTCTCTCATGGGTAAAACAATAAGACAAGTTAATTGACTCTAAATATGTGGTCAGAGGAGAGCTTTTGCTAGATGTTATATTTTTACAAGAACATTTCTTGACCAGATGCTCATTCTGTACAAAACATTAGTGACAATTACTGTAAGAATGGAATAGTTGGAAAAACAACTAATCTAGTTGGTTAAACCGATTTTGGTTCAATTAACCAATATACTGTATGTTCAGAAACTGACCAAGCAGTCGGTTTGTGATCAACCAATTTAATTTGTTATGCAAACAACCAAGAAAAAAGGTAACTGATGCTTTACTTTTCTGACTTCTCTGACCGTCATCTGTAGTCAAGTGTATTGTGTAATGGTTATGAACTTTGAGAATGTTTATGGTGATGTGTACATGTGCAGCATGCAAATCGTGGCTTGAACTAAAACCGTGGCTTAAAGATCAGATGTCAATGACAAGACAAGAGCGACTCCCCCCCTTACGTCACATCCCTGTGACTGAGATTATTTAAGCAGCCGACTCCCACCCTACGCTCTCTTGCCTGGAGCTCTCTGGCCTCTCGTAGCCTCAGCGGTTTTCAGCTGAGGCTACATACGTGGCCACTAAATCCCCTCTGAAGAAGAGTCTCTGTTCGTTGGCCAAATCAGACTACATTTTGCCTACATTCACAAAGAGCTGAATGTAGATTTTTGTCTTTCCTGTGTTTTAAACCAGATTCATAGCAGAGTTTCATGAACCTGTCTGCTGAAGCAGATGAGAAAACTCTCCATTTGTGGTCTACCATGGAACAGCCTGGCTCAATTGCAGTGTTGCCGTGCCACACTGGTTCTGCCACTGTCCTGAACTGTGAAACCTCCAGACGTGATCCATTGATTTGACTACTGTTTGGAGCTGTGCTACTGCTGTTTGAGCCGATGGTACAAAGCTATATGCTGCTTTAAGGTGTTGCCCGTGCTAAGGCTGCTGTAAGTGACAAATTTAAGCCCTGCAAAATTTCCTTCTGTTTTTTTGCATCAGAATAACCCAAATCTCTCCTAGAGAACGAGACAGACTTCCTCCCCCTTTTTCCAAGTCGGACCAAACAGAACCAAATCTCCTCCATTACATTGAGCCAACAAGTAAAACTTTTTTCCCCTGTTTCTTCTGATGGTTAATAAATACTCTGCTTGGGCAAGAGATGGGTAGAATAGCTATTTTAGATGTTGTTGTTTTATGTGAGAGAAGCTTTGAGATTCATCTGCTGATGAAGTAAGAGTTTTGAACTGAATGCAAATGCTCACATAGCCTGCCTTAATGATCCATGCTGTGTTACTGCCTGCTTAATTTTTAGGAAATTGGTTGGACCCGCTAGCATCGTTAGCTCTAAGCTACCTCAGCTATCGGCCATATGGTAGCAGCCATTTTTATGAGTCCTCTAACCCAGCCCAAACCACCGGGCTGCGGACCGGTACCGGTCCGTAGGTCATTTGGTACCGGGCCGCACAGAATAATTTATCGACGATCAGAGTCTGAGTGATGTTTTATTTTGAAAAATATAAAAAAAATTGCGGTATTCTCTCCCAATTACATCAGTCGGTGCATCTGTGCCTCTTGACACAAGTTAATTCAGTTCAAGACTCATCCTATAACATCCTATCTTTGTGAAGCGGGATTTTCTGCGGTTACAGTGACCAAAACAAAGCTACGGAGCAGACAGGACATCAGGAGCACCCTTTATGTGTCATTGTCTCCGATTGCGCCTCGATGGGACCGGCTTGTTTCATTTTTATGCTGTTTGTATTTGATTTTATGCCAGTCGTATAATTTTACTTGATCGTATTTACCCTGGATTTGAATATGATCAAGTAAAGAACGGTCCACCCCCCCACCCCCCACCCGGTCTTCTGCAGTTAAATCTACAAAGGGTTAGGGTTGGGGTTACCTCAAATAACCTCAGAACAGCTAAATTTAACTATTTTTTTTTGTAAATTACTGTATAATCTCCAGTAGTATGAACCACTGATCTGTTTATAATTAAAATATCTCATAAGGCACCAGTTTTTTAAGCACATTTTCTGGAAACTAAAACCTTTTTAAAAAAAAAAAGAAAAGTTACTTGAAAGTTACTTAAAATGATTGTGTGTTAGTACAAAAGACAAGAGATTTTAACATACTGCTCCCTAGTGGATACATTTAGCTAATTAACCTCAGTGAGATTATTTTTGTGCCACTGATCATCTTTGACATCAATCTCTCAACCTAAGCTGTGAGATGTATGNGTGGATACATTTAGCTAATTAACCTCAGTGAGATTATTTTTGTGCCACTGATCATCTTTGACATCAATCTCTCAACCTAAGCTGTGAGATGTATGAGGGATTTCCTACAAACAGCCTCTCTCTGTGACCTCACCAAATGTTTAAACCATATTCCTTTTTTAGAAAAAAAAAAGGTCCCTATTTATTAATAATGTACTTTTTCTTTAAATCCTAGATTACTTTCAGATGTTATTGGTAATATACATCAGTGCTCACTTACCAAAGGAGTTTGTCGATTTGTACTTGGAAGCATAAAGGGCCCTACAATGACAGCGAGGCTGCCTGCTTGAGCTGTCCACACCACAGAACTCATGAGCGCTGCAGATCATATCCTGACAGTCAGCTTGAGGAGCGAGAGCTGCAAAACCAAAAGCATGGCAAAAAACAGAACATTTATTTTTTCAGAAATAGACGTCAAGCATGAAATAATGTCCTTAAGGGATATGATTGGCCACCTTGCAGGTCCGACAACAACATTGTAAGATTATACTGCAGACAAACAGCAGCGGTCGGTTTATAAAATAATGAGCCAGCTTCTGTCATCTAGGGTAATGATTATTCCCTTAAAACTTTGGTGTGCATATATTTGTGATAATCTACATTAACTATGCACCAAGATTTAAATCTAAAAGTACACCACCAACATGCATAGATATAAATGCCACTCCAAAAAATTGATTCCATTAACAAAAGCAAAGTTTATAATATAAAAAAAATCTGAGCAAAAGTCACATGTATATACTAGCCAAAAAGTGAAAAGCTCAAAATTTAAAGGTAACTTCAATGTATATAATCCAGAGTGTTAAAAAGAAAAAAACAACAGCCTTACAGCAACTTGTATATGTCGTCCAATCCTCAATTGTTACATTGCTTTGGTGTTTGCAGACCTCAGCGTAATCCTTTAGAAACTGGCATTGAAGACCATCCTCTGCAGGATATCTGCACAAAGTTTGTGTGCAGGCCTGAATGAAGGGCTCCGGGTTGACATATGAGTTACAGGCAGTGAAAGGACCCTCTTCAAGGAGCTTACACCTGTTCCAGCAATTCAAATAATATAACACAGCAATTTTCAGAAAGGAATAGTAGTAATGTAAGTAAGTACTGTAGTAAAGGGGTCTAGTTCCAAAAGTTGGAATGAACTAGATTTATATTCACCATTTTGCAGTGCTGTTGCAGCTGATTCTACCGTCAGCATCATCTTCATATTGCGTCTCACAGCTTGAACAGCAATAAGAAGATTCATATTAGACAGTTACTTTTGTAATGAAGACAGTGGTTATATGTGTGTCACAATACTGAGCAGATGAATTTTAGCTAAATCGTGTTATCAATCCAGTCATGTCAGAGCAACTGAGCTCCATCATGAACTCCTACCACGTTAAACAACTATTCATCTGACTTGACTGGAGTCTTATTTGCAAAACCATCTTTATCATTAGAATATTCATATGACCTCAGCAGGATATTATCCATAGGAGGGCTGGTATCATCAAAATACAACAGTTGGTTTGTTGCGTATGTTAGACCAACAACGTTTCCTGAGTGTTTCGATCATAATATGTTGCTACAGGGCTTGATGTTAACCAATGAGCGATCTCCCGGGGCAAGTAGTTTTTATTGTTGGGAGAGTACAAATTGATGATCGCAAAAAAAAATTATTTATCACTCAAAATTACTTCAAAATCCCCGACATTTGATGAAAACGACCCAGAAGCGTTGCCGGCGCCATTTTTGTTGTTTTGTACACATTTTCTCGTGATTTGAAAAAGCCGGGTGATTTTCCACCAGATGGCGTGATTTTTGTCCACCTAGCGGTAATTTTGATGAAGTTACCAAAACAACAAATGGCTGCATTTATTTTGTCAGGGAAAACTAATCCTGAGTTAGTTAAAAGTCAGGGAATTCTGAAAT